TTTCGAAAAACCTGCGATTAGGCTGCGAAAGTAGAACATTCCGGAGGGGGTGAAACGGAAGAGCCAAACTTAACGCGTAAAAATAGAACGCGTATTTTGACCTCTACGTGGCCAACCAATGGCTGGACACGGATACGTTTTTGGTCGTTGCCAAAGAGCCCCGCGGCCATCGCCTGGCGATGCTCTTCCAATGAGTTTTTACGTAAAAACACAAACAAAACGGCCCTTTTCAGGGCCACCACACATTCCAAAAAGAGAACTACCGTAACGAACACACTATTTAAATAAATCAAACGCGTTCGTTTTTGACAAATACAACTTTATTGTTGACCGAATTCTTGGCTAAAAATCACCCTGGGCGTTTAACCGAGGATGTCCCCAACATGTAACTTTTGTGAAAACGGGGTGGGCGCTTGCCCAGGGAGGGGCGCTTGCCCGGGGTAATACGGTATGTAAAATATAGTAGTCAGTTTGGATATAATTTCATAATAAATTTAAAAATATCACATTAGAAGTAGAAAAACATCTGGTTGTTGTAGTAAAATCAAGACAAAGTCAACATTCTGGAATTTGGGATCAAATACTATCAACCTGACACACAATCTGATCAGATACTGGCAACCTGACACACAATGGGATCAAATAATGGAAACATGACACACAATCAGATCAAATACTGGCAACCTGACACACAATTGGATTAAATACTGGCAACCTGACAGACAATCAGATCAGATACTGGCAACCTGACACACAATCTGATCAAATACTGGCAACCTGACACACAATGGGATCAAATACTGGCAACCTGACACACAATCAGATCAAATACTGGCAACGTGACACACAATTGGATCAAATACTGGCAACCTGACACACAATCAGATCAGATACTGGCAACCTGACACACAATCTGATCAAATACTGGCAACCTGACACACAATTGGATCAAATACTGGCAACCTGACACACAATCAGATCAGATACTGGCAACCTGACACACAATCTGATCAAATACTGGCAACCTGACACACAATGGGATCAAATACTGGCAACCTTATACACAAAGGTATCCAATACTGGCAACCTGACACACAATGGGATCAAATACTGGCAACCTGAGACACAATGGGATCAAATACTGGCAACCTGACACACACAATCAGATCAAATACTGGCAATCTGACATACAATCTGATCAGATACTGGCAACCTGACACACAATCAGATCAAATACTGGCAACCTGACATACAATGGGTGA